CCCCCGCCTCCATCCACTCGTCTTTGGTAGTCAACATTCAAAAAGGGGCAGGCCTCCCATGGGCATGAACAAAGCATGGTCTATCAAGTTGAAACAGGACCAAGCTCCTCCCCCGAATCAAGGCTGGGTGAGGCAATCCAGCATGGGGAACGGGTTCACAAAGGCCAGCTAAGTGTGCCAGGGGCAGGTCCTGATCCCACTGCTAGGAGCCCCATAGTCAGACCTCACAACTGTCACACACATGGAGAGGGCCTAGGTGGGTACCATGCAGCCTCCCTAAGTCCAGAGTCCATGAGGTCCCAACAAGCTCAGGTCAGCTGTCTCTGTGGGTTCCCCCATCATGATCTGGACCCCCCCCCATACAATTCCCCCTCCCTCTCTTCAGCAGGACTCCAGGAGCTCAGCCCAGTGCTTGACTGTGGATCTCTGCATCTGCTTCTCTCAGTCACTGGATGAAGGCTCTATGATGACAATTAGGGTAGTCACCAATCTGATTACAGGAGAAAGCCAGTTCAGGCACCCTCTCCACTATTGCTAGGAGTCTTAGCTGGGGTCATCCTTGTGGATTCCTGGGAGTTTCCGTGGCACCAGGTTTCTCCCTGACCCCAAAATGGCACCCTCATCAAAGGTGTCTCTCTTATTACTCTCCCCCTCCCACACCCAGCCCACCCAACCTGATCCCTCATGTTTCCACCCCCACCCCCACCCCCAGTTTACCCAGGAGATCTCCTCTATTTCCCCTCCCCAGGAAAATCCATGCACCCCTCTTGGACCCTCCTTGTAATCTAGCCTCTCTGGGGCTGTGGATTGTAGGTTGGTTATACTTTAGTCCTAATATACATAAGTGAGTATATACCATGTTTGTCTTTCTGGGTCTGGGTTACCTTACTCAGAATGATTTTTTTTCTAGTTTTATCCATTTGTCTGCAAATTTCATGAGGTCATTGTTTTTTACAGTGCCACATTTTCTTTATCCATTCTTCCATTGAAGGGCATCTAGGTTGTTTCTAGGTTCTGGCTGTTATGAATAATGCTGCTATGAACATAGCCGAGCAAATGTCCTTATGGTATTATTGTGCATCCTTTGGGAATATGCCAAAGAGTGGTATGGCTGGGTCTTTAGGTAGATTGACTCCCAATTTTCTAAGAAACTGCCATATTGATTTTCAAAGTGGCTGTACAAGCAAACACATCCTTATGTAACACAGAACCATGTAAAAACGACTACACATAATGAAAACTTTAAGGAAAAAAAGAAAATTTAAGAAAACAAAATAAAAAATGGTATTAATCTGAATTCTTGAGTTGGAAAACAAAAAAGACACTGAAAGTCAACATGGGGTCAGTTTTGTCAAACCTAACAACAAAATAATAAAGCCATGAGGATGTGAAGGAAGGAATCTCATGTACACATATCTGACAACATGAACTATGCAACAGACTGTTGGAGACACAGCCCTGCACAAAAACCACCACAACTTTATACAGAAAATACTTATTGTGGTTGTTTGAATTTAACTGGCCCCCATAACTGGCCACAGGGAGTGGCACTATGAGGAGGTGTGGCCTTGTTGGAGGAAGTGTGTCACGGTGGGGGTGGGCTTTGAGGTCACTTATGCTCAAGCCATGCCCACTGTCTTAGACCACTTTCTGTTGCCTGCAGGTCAAAATGTAGGACTCTTGGTTATTTCTCCGACACCATGTCTGCTTGCACACCACCATGTCACAGGATGATGATAATGGAGTAAATCTCTGAACTGTAAGCCAACCCCAATTAAATGTTCCCCTTTAAGAGAGTTGCCATGGTCATGGTGTCTCTTCACATCAATAGAAACCCTAACTAAGACACTCATACAAGGATGTCTGCTCATTAACTGCTTGACTAGCTTTGAAGAGATGCCACCCTTCTAGTTCATTCTGTAGCCAAGCAAAATTGATTCAAAACAATTTTGGAAATCTTCCTCAATTAGCCCTTAAATTGTCCCCTGGCCTCCAGCTCTTTGAACACACCTGGTTTAATCTTTGAAGACATGTCACTGCAGTGCCTCCTCCTTATTCCCAGATAAACTGTAATCATTCACCCTTTCTCTCTTCCCCTGCCCTCCCCTTACCTTTCCCCTCTCCTCGGCTGTTCTCTAGGTGGACAGGACATCAACTTCCTAACACTTGCATGTTTGTTTACGTAAGAGACAAAACACATCTCAGCAGATGCCCAAAGAACTGGCCTACGAGCAACCTGAAGGCACGAGATACAGCCCAGCAGAGGCAAGGGACTGGATTCTTTCCTCCCGCGGGTGGGTCTGCAGCAGTGGCTGCAACAGTGGACTGAAGAGGTGTCCAACACAGGGCATTGGATGTATGGTGCCTTCACCCTACACTGGTATTGGGTGGAAAGTGACCTTCCAGGACCTGGAGCAGAGAGACTACTATTAAATGTTATGTAGTTTACCAGGTTGTTCTTTCAGAATGTTCCATGAGAAGACCTCAACCTCAAGGTGTCTACACTTCCTCCCTTCCCCTCTCCCTATTCCCTTCCCATCCCCTCTCCCCTCCCCCTTCTTATCCCCTCTCTCTTCCTTCCTTCCCATCCCCTCTCCCCTCCCCCTTCCCATCCCTTCTCCCCTCCCCCTTCCTATCCCCTCTCCCTTCCTCCCTTCCCATCCCCTCTCCCCTCCCTCTTCCCATCCCCTCTACCTTCCTCTCTTCCCATCCCCTCTCTCCTCCCCCCTTCCTATCCCCTCTCCCCTCCTCCCTTCCTCCCTTCCCATGCCCTCTCCCCTCTCCCTTCCCATCCCTTCTCCTTTTTTCCCTTCCCATCTGCTCTCCCCTCCTCCCTTCCTCTCTTCCCATCCCCTCTCCCCTCCCTTCCTCCCTTCCCATCCCTCTCCCTTCCTTCCTCCCTTCCCATCCCCTCTCCCCTCCTCCCTTCCCTCCCCCACCACTTCTCTTTCCTCCACCAACTACTAGTGCTAGCCTACAATGTGCCAGAGGTCACACGAGGCACTTAAAATATTTTAAGAAACTAAACACAAGAGAGACTTCAATGGGAGAGTGGAGAGGATGAGAGAGGATGGGGGGGGGGTGAAAATAATTAAAAGTCTTTACATCCATGCATGAAAATGCCAAAGAATTGAAAAGAGGGGTTGTAAGGGAAAAAACAAACATCTCCTTCAAGAAGCAAGAAGTATGTTGAGGAGGAGCAAGACAGTAAATAAATAATTTCAACAAATAAACTCTGGTGGGGAGTATAGCACGAGAAGAGAAAGATTCACATAAGGAATTAACCTTTAACCAGAGGCTCTAGAATACAACAAAAATCGGAAACTTCTGATGAGATGCTTATGTTGCCAGGCAACGTTCTAGGTCTTCATAATACATTCGTGTACCACATAGCAGTGTTTCCTTCCATGTCACCATGCTTAGGACGGCGATCTCATGAGACTACAGTGGAGCTGTACCCTATGGACATGGAGACTGCTGTAACATTGTAGAACGAGACATCACTTTGTGTTTATGGAGATGTTGGGGTAAACCAGCCCACCACACTTCCCGCTGTATGAAAGCACAGCACACATTACTATGTACAGCAATCAACGATGATAATAAAGGTCTATGTCACTGTTTTGTGGATTTATAGTACACTTTTGCTTTGATTTATTTTTCTGCCTGGTAGGGTATGAACCCAAGGTCTCATGTATTTGAAGTAAAAGCTCCACAACTAAACTACATCTGACTCATCTATTTATTATAATACTTTGATCATTATTTTAGAATGCATATTTATATTTGTAAAATGTTCTTCTACTTAGTAAAATAAATGAATGAATGAGTAAATAGATAACATACCATAACATTGCTTGCTTTGCTCGTCTAGGAGCAACCTCATTCATATCGTAGCCTCCTACGTCTCATGATTACTGTATCTCGAATGCATCAAGAGGCTAGGTCAAGGGCCAGCAAGATGGCTTAGCAGATACAGGTGCAGGCTGGCAAGATGACCTGAGTTTGATCCCTGGGTTCAGAGTGGAAGGAGAGAGCCAACTCCAGCAAGTTGTCCACGTGTGCAGAGTGGTACATAAACACACGGGCATGCATATGCACATACAATAAATCAGAATGTAATAAAAAGTTTAAAAGCCATAAAAGAAGCCAAATAAGCAGCTGACCTATATTACCCAGGCTTTTATGAGTCCATTCTGTGACATTTGCACAATAACAAAAAAAAAAAAAACTGATGTATTTTGAAGGATGTATCCTGTTTTTGAGAGGATCTTTACAACAACCCCATGAGACAACTGCAGAAACAACAAAATTCAACCAGTAAAAAACTAAGTGTTTGTTGGGGTTTGAGGGAAATGGCCCAGACCGCTGTCTATTCAGTCCCCAGAGCCCGTTTTTTTTCTCTTCTTCTTGAGAACACACTTCCCAGACTCCCTTGCAGTTAGGCAGAGCCAAGTGAGACTGAGTTCCAGCTGATGGAAGGAGCGGCACCATTTGAATGTCTGACCCATTAAATCCTTGTTCCCATCTACATGCCTGCACTTCTGTGTCTCTGGAAGCACATGTTGAAAATGGTTGACTCTCCACTGATCTGGGCTTCTAGCTAAAGGAGGGTGTACCTGGTTATTCGCTTGTCCAAAATAATTGTGCAAAACTGCCAGTTAAGCAAGAAACAAACTTTTATCGTGTGTGAACTGGCAGAAACCTTTGTGTCTTTTTAAATTATAGCAATGATTCTACATCTTTAGGAATATGTTTTTATTCTATTCTATTTTTTGTTTTCAATACAGGGTCTCACTAGATAGCTCTGCTGTCCTGGAACTCAGTCTGTAGACCAGGCTGGCCCCAAACTCACAGAGATCTGCCTGCCTCAACCTCTCAAGTGCTGGGATTAAAGGCACTCACCATCACACTTGGTTTAGGAATATATTTTTAAAATATTCTACTGTGATTATTATGTGTACACATGAAGAAGCAGCAGATTACTAGGTAAACGAAGGATGTCCTATACATATGAAAAAAAAAGGGTTATTGGGACTTTGGGGGCTCTTTCCTTGGTTCACTAGACAACTTCCATTCCTGGGCATCCATTTTCCTTTCCTAAAAATCTGTCTATTCCTAGTCCATACCTAACTGAAAAGAAATGGCTTTTTCTCCATCTCTCCTCCAGATTGCTGCCAGAATTTTCATGTAACTAGTACTACATTTCTGTTTCTCTCTCTCATACACTCCCTCTCTTCTTCCCACTCTGTTCCCCATCTCTTTTTGAGATAGGGTCTCACTGTTTAGACAGGGTGGGTCTTGAACTCACAGAGACCTATCTGTCTCTGCCTCCTGAGTGCTGGGATTAAAGGCATTCACCACCACACCCTGTTATTTTTCTCTTAAATGCTAAAATAAGTAAGTAAGTAAGTAAGTAAATAAGTAAATAAGTAAATAAGTAAATAAATAAATAAATAAATAAATAAATAAATAAATAAATAAATAAAGTCCTTGAGCTCCAAAAAAAAGAAAAAGGTTTACCTAGTACTGGGGCTATGGCTCAGTGGATAAATCTCTTGCTTTGCACACATGAGCACTGGAATTTTGATCCCAGGTATAAATGTAAAAGCCAGGTGGGCATAGACAGAGGATCCTAGGGCAAGCTAGTTAGCTGGACCAGAGACCACAACTCAAGCCAGGCATGGTGGCGCACGCCTTTCATCCCAGCACTCTGGAAGCAGAGACAGGTGGATCTCAGAGGCCAGCTTCATCTACAGAGCGAGTTCGAGGACAGCCAGGGCTACACAGAGAAACCCCCATCATGGAGAGAGAGGGGAGGGGGAATGGGGAGGGGCGAGAGGGAGAGACTGACATATGCCTCAGTGGCTAGCAATTGAGGAAGCCACTGGATGACAACTGCTATGAAAGCACGTGGACACATGTTTATATGCACCCCGATCTGCAGACACATGAGCTCACACATGCATGTACCCCCACACATATACACATGCAAAAAAAAAAAAAAAAAAAAAAGCTTATTTTTTCCCTATCTTCAGAAGATCAGGTAAATTCTTCTCTTAACATGCTTATGATGGTGTCGACCTGTAACTGCAGTATGAAGGATTCTGAAGTGGAAGGATTGTAAGTCTGAGGCCATTCTGGGCCATATGTGTAAACCCTGTCAGGAAAAAAAAAAAAAAAAGACTAGAAAGGAAAGATGAACAAAATAGAAACGGCAGGTATGTACAGTTTGGATTCAGTAGCGAGGATAGGCGGGAGTCATATTGCTAGTATATTGTTTTTTTCTGAGTTACATGAAGCAGCGTCATCTTCCTGAAAGAGTGCTGGCCGTGTGTGCAGGTGGCTGAGCTGTGAGGGAACAGGCTGAGCACTTAAGGAGCCTGTTCTATTAAAGTGCTGATAGAACTGGTGGGAAGGCAAATTTCAGGGCACCTCCACTAGCTTTTGGTGGCATTGCTTCAGAACAGGGAACCCTCCCTTTTTGGATTTTAGTTCATTCCAGATGGAGTCAAGTTGACAACCAAGAGTAGCAACCACACAGGGCAAGCATGAAGACTGGAGTTTGGATCCCCAGCGTCCACACAAATGCCAGCTAGACAGCAGTCTGTCTATAATTTTAGCACTCAGGGAACAGAGATGCCCAGAGTAAGTTGGCTACTAGACTAGCTGAATCAGTGAGCTATAGCTTAACTTGCGAAACTCTGCTGTAGCACATAAGGTGAAAAGTGATCAAGAAGACACCCTACATCAACTTCTGGCTTCCATACTTCGGTGTACATACACCCACGCCCAACGCATGCTTTACACTGTGTGTGTGTGTGTGTGTGTGTGTGTGTGTGTGTGTGTATATATGTATATATATGTAGCCACCTATATACCTGACATTCTTTTCCTCAAGGGGCATGACCTATGTCTGTTCTTAAATCTAGTGAGCTCTGACTATCATGGAGTAGGGTCAGTTCATAAAAGGCCATAAAGTTTCTGCCTTACTTGCTGAGAACACTAGTATATAAATGCCTATATTGATCAGAACAATGAATTAATTGCAAAGAATTGATCTAGGTTGCAAGTGATGGAACTCCAACTTACACTTGCTTCAACACACAGGCTTACATACTGAAAAGTTCATGGGCAGATGCAGAGAGAACTAAATGCCCCAAATTTGTCATCTGGGACTTGATCTCTTCCTTTATGGGTTCTACATTTGTTTATCCTCATTCACTCATTCTCTTGCTGGCTGTCCCTGTAAGGTAAAATGGCTACCAGTAATCCCAAGTTTATCACCAGCTGTATTAGTTACTAAGTAGAAAGAGCCTTGTTCCCCAATAATTCAACAAGTTCTAGGAACAACTTTCACTGAACTGACTGGGAACACACACACACACACACACACACACACACACACACACACACACACACATCCCTGAACTGATCACATTTGGCTTTTATACTCCGATCGTGTCTATCTGGGCCATGTATCAAACCCTGGAGACAGGGCAACCTTGTTGTCATTGTAACTGCATGGACTGCGAATAAACAAATGTGGGTGGGGACCCCAGAAGAAAACAGAGAATAAAGATTGTGTAACCAATACAAGCAAACTAGGTAAAAACCACACGTGTGCATGTGTCGTGTCTGCCCCATTTCCGTAATGAATTTGAGCTAAACGGCAGAATGATGGCTGCTCAGCATGGTTTCTTCCACCCCACCCAGATGAATGATTGAAGGACCAAAATTTAATTACATCTCTCTATCACATTAAGTGGATAATAAGACCAAGTGGCTGTAGACATTAAAGGAAGGGCTTGCAACAATCCCAGGAGCAAAAGGATCTCTGGACTTGACCTCAAAGGCTCTAGAGTTGTGCCCTTGAATCACCTGAACCACAAACTGTTTCCGAATCCTTTCCACTGGAGAGGCAGCGTAGTGCATGGACTAAGAGTACAGATTCTGAACACGGCCTGAAAATGTTAGGTCCTGGCTCCGACTGAATTATGGGATTAGCCAGTCTTTGCCAAGTCACTCAGTCTCCCTGTCTCTTAGCTTTCTTTCCCATTGGCAAATAAAGATAATAATAGAACCACTTCGTAGGAAGAGTAAATGAGTCATTATATGCAAAACACTTGAAACAGTGCCTGGGGCATAGTAAGAGCTATACGGAGCCAACTGCTCATCACCGGAGAGATGAACGTGGTGCCAGGGCCTTTGAAGCCAGAGTAAGAAATTCTGGCACTGGCAAGCAAAGCACATGACCTTGGTAGAATTGCTTATTTTCTCTGGAATTGATTCATTTCTTTCTGTATGATATGATGGTAATTATATCTCTCTGCATTACAGGGCTGTCATAAAGACCAGTGGAGGTAATGGATGCTGAATTCTTGAGAAGCTCAAAGTCTTTTTATAAATAACAAGTCTTATTATTTCCCTCTGGATTATTTGGTTTGTGTATAATCAGTGCAGTTTCACACCTTACACTTTAACACAAAGAATCATGAGGGGCAAAGCTGGATCGTGGTGGTGCACGCCTTTAGTCCCAGGACGTGGGAGGCCAAGACAGGTGGATCTCCATGAG